GGGAAGAAGCCCCAAGATTTCCCAGGGAGTGGATTGAGTAGCTGGGTTGTACTGGATGCAAAGGATCAGGGAGAGTAAAGGTAAGCCTCGGAGCCCTAGAAAGAGGCTGTCAGCCCCAGAATGAGGCTGGCGGGTGTTGGAGGACCGGGGAAGTAGAGGGGGATGAGGGCAGGGCCAGGACCAGAAGCGGTGCTCCTGGAGCCCAAGAAAGGGCCTGAGTTGCTCTGGGTGAGAAGGATCAGGAAACAGTATTGGTTCCCCAGGTGTCTGGGGCCCCAAGACTAGGAATGGCACAGGGTCCAAGCTAGAGTATAGAATGGCGGGCGGGGGGGCAGGGGGGTGTTGGGTTGGGTGGAAGGGTGAATGAGGCTTAGGGAGTCCCGGCGCGGAGCGCTCCGCTATAGACTTACCCCAAGAGGCCTGAGGATAGTCTCTTTTTTGGTATTTTTGAGACAGGGTCTCCCTGTAGCCCCAGCTGGCCTGGAACTCACTATGTAGACCAGGTTAGCCTTGAACTCACCTCCTGCTAGGACTAAAGGCATGTGCCACCATGTTCGGCTGGTTTTTTTTTGAGACAGGGTCTTCCTGTAGCCCCAGCTGGCCTGGAACTCACTATGTAGTCCAGGCTGGCTTTGAACTCACAGATATCCATCTGCCTCTACCTCCCAAGTGCTGAGACTAAAGGCCTATGCCATCGCTCCAGGCAGATATCCTAATATTTTTGTCCTGTGACCACATACCATACTTTCTTAGCTGGTTACCCTTTGTTGAACATCTAGATTGTTTACAAATTTTGCTGTTAGAAATATTGCACAATTAAGGCTGGAGAAATGATTTAGCAGTTAAGAGCACAGGATGTTCTTGCAGAGGACCCAGGTACAGTTCCCAGCACCCACATGACAGTTAACCCCCATTCATAACTTAAGTTCCAGGGGATCTGATGCCCTCTTCTGGCTTCTGAGGGTATTGCATACACATAGTGTACTTCATACATGCACGCAAAATACCCATACACGTAAAATAAAATAAATACAGAAATGAAATTGCAAATAAAAAAAGCATTATGTAATTAATATGCTGTCTGCCCTGGAATGAATTGTGCCCCTCCCTAATTTATATGTTTAATTTGGGAATAGGACTTTGATCAGGTGATGAAGTTAAATCTGAGAGTGGTGGTAATCCATGCACTTGGAGCTCAAGGCAGGAAGTTTGAGCCACAAGAATAGGCTTTTTTTAAAAAAAAAAAATAGAATAGGGCTGGAGAGATGTCTCAGTGGTTAAGAACATTGATTATTCTTACAGAAGACGCGGGTTCAAATCCCAGCACCCACATGGCAGCTAACAACTGTCCATAACTTCAGTCCCAGGGGCTCTGACAGCCTTTTTTTGACCGCTGCAGGCATTGCATGACATGGTTGCACTTACCTACATGCAGGCATAATACTTATACACATAAAATAAGAATAATAAGTGAAATATTAAAAAAAAGAACAATAGGATTCTAGTTTATAAGATCAGTGGCCTTAAAGAAGAGGAAGAGAGATCTTTGTGTGCATCTCCTGAGAAAAGGACACTCTTAATGAGCAGACAGGCTGTCTGTAAAACAAGCAAAGAGCCCTCAGCAGTAACTAAATTGGATGCTATCTTGACCTAGGCTCCAGAACTGTGAGGTACAATTTTTGGTTATTTAAGCCACCTAGTTGATGGCATTTTGTTAGGAGCCCAAGCAAACCAAAACACTGACCACACATTTTTCTCCACATGTCATATTACTTCATTAGAAAATATCTGTAGAAGTAGAATAGAAAATAAAGGCTTGTCTAGTTCTCAAGCTTTGAAATATGTAATCTCAAATTGCTTTCAGGATAGACTTTACAAATTTATGTTCACAATAATTTCCTTTTGTTTTGGTTTTGGTTTTTCTTTTTTGCAGTATTGGGGTTGTCCTGTACATGCTAAGCAAGCACTCTGTTACCGAATCTCATCACTACCTATTTTCATTTTTGGAACACCCTGACTTTCATTTCAGTTTGTACTTTGTGAGTGGAGTTGGATGTTTTGCACATTTGGTGTCAATTTTATGTGTTAGATCTTTCTTTGGGGGGGGGTCTTTTTAAAATAAATTTTGTAGTTAGAGATCTACTCTAGGAGAAATGTAAATGGAAAAGGTTGTATTTCTTGGTATGTAGAAATTAAGAATTGTTAATAAATCTCAAACATTTGAGAAATGGGATTTTATATCTTTGGTGTTTTAAAAACTTTTCCAATTTTAAATTTTAGCCCTAAGTATAATACCTAATTTATTTCTTTTTGTTTAATTTTTCATAGTAGCTGTGTTTTAGTTTTCTTAGCTGAAGGTAATGCGTGTTTATGATTGGGGGAAAAAAGAAAGTAAAAATCATCTGATACTTACATTAGTATATACTATATTTTTACTTTTCTATAGTTTATATTTTATATAATATATTGTGTTTGTCGTGCTATTAAATATTCTTTTATAACAAATGATTGCATTTTTTTTTTTTTTGTCTTTTTGAAGCAGGGTCTCCCTGTAGCCCTAGCTGTCCTGGAACTCACTATGTAGACCAGGCTGGCCTTTGCCTCCGAAGTGCTGGGACTACAGGCGTGCGCCGCCACGCCCGGCTGCATTCTATTTTTTTAATCTAGGTGTTGGACTAGTTTCCTGTTTCTTTTGCTATTGAAAAAAATGCCTTGACAGACATGGATATCCATCTTTATTCTCTGGCTAAATTTATAAAAATGAAATTTCTTCATAAAAAGAGATACATAAATCTAAAGTTTTAGATATATATTGCTGTATTCTTCCACCCATTTGAGGGTACCAATTTCCTTGAATCCTTTATTATATCTCTGAATGTTCTTATTTTGATGGTCCTGAAGGCATACTCTTTTTTTTATTTTGCATTTCCTCAAGAGTAGGGCTGAAGTTGAGTGTGGTGGCCCACAACTTTAATCCCAGTACTCGGAAGGCAGAGGCAGGTGGATTTCTGTGAGATGGAGGCCAGCCTGGCCTACATAGCAAATTCCAGGCCAGCTGGAGCTCAGGGAGATGCTGTCTCAAAACAACAGCAAAGAGTGGAGCTGACAGCCTCGTAATGGAGCCAGTATTAGAGTGCTTGCTTAGCATGCTTACGGCCCTGGCTCCAACCCCAGTCCTTAAAAAAAAGTGTAGCTGAATATGTTGACCATGGATGTTTTCTTTATGTGTGCCTTATTTGTAATTAGCATGCCAAACAACAGCTTTTCTTATGACATTTTCCTGTGTGCTTTGTTTGGGGTAATCCCTTTTAACCCATCTCCTAGACCCCCTCCCCTACCTGTGCTGTTCCACCCACTATCCCCCTTTCCACTTTCATGTCATGTGTGTTCTGTCATCTTCCTGCCCCCCCCCTTTCTAAAGCCTCCTTTTCCTCTCATGGGCCCCTTTCTAGTTTCATGACCTCTACCCACACTCAATCCCACATAAATACACATATAAATTAGAAGCTAGGAGCCACACATAACAAAATATGTGATAGTTGTCTTTCTGAACTTGAGTTACCTCACTGTCTTTTAAGACAGGGTCTCATTGTGTAGCCCTGGTTGGCATAGAACTTGCTATGTAGACCAGGCTGGCCTGGAACTCACAAAGATTCCCCTGCTTCTGCCTCCCAAAGTGCTGGGATAAAAGGCATGCACCACAATGCCCAACTCACCTCACTTTTTATATTCATATAGATGTCCATTGATATACTTTCATTTTTTTTGTTAAAGATCTGTTTATTTATTAACTTACTAACTCTAAATTGTAATGTGCTTTGCAAGTGTTTCTCTAGTTACTTGCTCTTGAATTTTACTTACAGTACTTCCTAACATGCAGTCTGTAAAAATTTTCTCTCACAGCTGCTATGTCAGTAAAAGAAGTCCTTCAAAGCTTAGTTGATGATAGTATGGTTGACTGTGAGAGGATTGGAACTTCAAATTATTATTGGGCTTTTCCAAGTAAAGCTCTTCATGTGCGGAAACGTAAGTTGGAGGTTCTGGAATCTCAGGTAAGTCACTACAATTAAAAGAATAGATTTGCCTTGTAACACAGATTTGTTTTTCTAAATATCTTATTATTTTTATTTTATATGTATGAGTCCAGTGCCAATGGAGGTCAGAAGAGGTTTTGGACTCCCGTGTAACTGGAGTTATGGACAGTTAGGTACCATGTGGGTGCTGGGAATTGAACCTGTGTCTTCGACAAGAGCAGCCAGCGCTCTTAACCACTGAGCCATTTCTCCGTCCCCTAAATCTTTTTTTCATATAGTGGTTTCTTTTAAGCTGTATTTTTTAATATTTATTTATTTATTTATTGAGACAGTGTCTTCCTTTATTGAGACTGGCCTGGAACTCGTTATGTAGACCAGGCTGGCCTCCATCTCACAGAGATCCATGTGCCTCTGTCTCCTGAGTGCTGGGATTAAAGGCATGCTCCACTACTCCTGACTTCCTTTAAACTTTATGCATTATTTGGGCTCAAAGTATAAAGATAATTAGCATCATTTTCTCATAAACAGTGGGGTTAGGGGCTTATGTCAGTGGTAGAACACTTGCTAGCATGCTTAAGGCTCTGGATTTGACCCCCAACATCTCAAAACAAACAAAACTGTAAAATGACCTTGGACTATTTCACCTTTCATTTTTCTGTAACATTATACTGTTTTCTAGTATCTTAGATTTTGTTTGTTTGTTTTGTTTTAAATCAATGGGAGGGGCAGACTGAGGTTTAGGTTGATAGAAAAATTGGTGGGATTACGGAGAATTCCCAACCTGTCCCCTTTATCTCCTCAACACTTAACAACCTCCCTTATTGTTTATATAATGTATCATTATTGTATGTACCTTATATTACAACTGGTAAACCAATTTTGCTACCTAATTAGCCAAAGTCTGTTAGGGTTCAAGGGCTCATTTACACCTTCTAGCTTTGGTTTTTAGTGTGTGTGTGTGTGTGTGTGTGTGTGTGTGTGTGTGTGTGGACATGCATAAGGACAACCTTGGGTGTCATCTTTAGGAATGCTGTCCACCTCTTTTTAAGTCAAGGTCTCTCATTGACATAGAGCTCAATAGTTGACTAGACTGACTGGCCAGGGAGCCCCAGGCATCCTTCTGTCTCCACCTCCCCAGCTCTGGGTTTGCAAACATGTACCACCATGCCTGACATTGTTTTTACTTCGGTTCTGGGGACTGAATCTGGCCCATGTACTTGTAGGACAAGTGCTTTACTGAATAAGCCAGCCCCCTAAATCCCCTTTAAAACAGGGCTTTTGAAAGAGGGACTCCTGTAGCTTGGACTGGCCTTGAACTCACTTTGAAACTGAGGCTGACCTTCGACTCACAGTCATTCTGCCTTTGCCTCCCAAATGCTAGGATTACAGGCATGTGCAACCAAACTAAAATGTATGATGACATGTGTCCACAGTTACAGTGTCTCTCCCTAAAAATTCTCCATGCTCTGCTTATTCATCCTTCCAGCTCCTCCGTTTTGAGACAGGATTTTTATGTAGCCCAGGCTGCTCTCACAATTACAATCCTGCCTTAACTTCCTAAGTGTTGATGTCAGCTGATCTTTTTACTGTTTACATAGTTTTACCTTTTCCAGATTTTCATATGAGTGGTATCACACATGGTACTAGCCTCTTTCACTTACCAATATGCATTTAAGGTCTTTCTGTGTCTTGTTCTGGCGTGATAGCTCATTTCTTTTCTTTTGTTCCCCTTGTTTTTATTGTTTGAGAATGTCATACATACATATAATATGACCTAATCCACCTCCAATTCCTCCCCTGTTCTACCACTTCCCTCCCAACTTCATATGCCCCCTTTTTTTTTCAAACCCACTGAGTGAGTCCACTTAGTGCTACCTGTCTGTGCATGAATATAGGACCATCTGCTAGAGCATGGATAGACTCTCAGAGGCTGCATCCCTGAAGAAAACTGGCTGTGCCTCCCCAGGCACCATCAGTTGCCACTAGCTCCTCAGCTAGGGGTGAGCCTTCGTGACCCTTCCCCCTCTTCTGCTGGGGTTTTGTTTGGCTTGATCTTGTGCAGCTCTTGCTCCTTCAGTCATATAGCCACTATGAGTTCTTTTGAGCAGTGGCACTGTGTGGTGGCAAACCCTCTTTTCTTGTAGATCCACTACCTCTGGCTCTTACAGTCTATCTACCCCTCTTCTTGAATGATCCCTGAGCCTTGTGGGGAGGAGATGTGCCGTTTTAGAGCTGAGTACTCTATAGTCTCTTGTTTTCTGCACATTGACCAGTTGTGAGTGTCTGTTAATCGCCACCCCCTGCAAAAAGAAGCTTCTCTTCTGAGGGTTGAGAGATGCAGTAATCTATAGGTATAACGATAAGAACTTAGGGAGTAGTTATTACTATGTCCACTTTGCAGAATAATAGAGCCTATGATCTACCTAGTCATGGGTTTTGAGGCCGTTAACAGTACCAGGTGTGAGTTCCATCTTGTGGAGTAGGCTTTAAATCCAATCCAATGTTTTGGTTAGTCCCAAAATATTCATGCCACTATTGTGCCAGTGAGCATATCTTATTAAACCAGTCATTATTGTAGCTCAGAGGGTGCACAACTGTTGGTTACTTTTCTGCCCTTGTAGCATGCATAGAACCTAGCACTATGAAAGCTAGAGATGAAGCTTCCAGATTGATACCAGCTTGATTTCATGTCAGATATGTGGTGTCTTCAGCACTAGGGTCTTACCATCGTGTTCTGGTGGGTAACCAGGAGCAATGGCAATAACTTGTAATGTTTGGAACTGTCTAACAATTTGAAAAAGAGAAAACTCGCACCGAAAGCCTGACTGGGAGCATGGCTGCGGGCTGCTCTGAGTCACTGTGGCCCCTGGCAGTGGATGAGAGGCCTGTGGTGGGGCGATCGGCATACTGCCTGCCTGGAGCTGCCAAGCTACACCTGGCCTACGTGCTGGCCAGCGGCCGCTATTCCTGCCGGGTAGCCACATGCACCGCCGCTATCGCCCCCCTTCCTGAGCCAAAAGTGCTTGGGCATCTGTGAGCAGCTGGATGCCGAGCTCCTGAGCTACTCTGAAAGCCTTTTAGGTTGTCCCTGTTGCATGTGATGCCATCAAAGTTGTGGATGAACTAGGAGATATTTATGATGATCAAGGACATAATTCATCTTAACATTGAAACAGACTTTGTTATTTTCTGTTCTGAACCAGGGCAAAAGTTAGTGGGCACAGTTAATAAAATATCTTATACATGGGTGTTTTAATGCCTCCATTCCTCAGCCTGAGCACATGTCGTTTGAGCAGTGGCAAACCTTGGAGATAAATGTGGGTGATGAACTAGAATTTGATGTATTTCACTTAGATTCAGATTCTGCTAGAGTATTCTGCTTTGGAAGAAAATAAATACTGAGAGTTTACAGCCTAAGAGCTCTGTGGTTTCTGAAGATGTAGCAGAAACTGGTATTGAAGAAGTTGTTGAAAAAATTTCAAAGAAGAAAAAGAAAAAAAAAAGACTCAGAAACATATGGAACAATTGATGGTGCCACAGCACTGGCAGATTGTGCAGATGTTGCTGCAGAGGAAGAGGCTGGCCTATGGAGTGGTGATCAGCAAGGAAGAGCCGAAGAAGAAAAAGAAGAAAAAGCACCAGGAGGACCAGGGCCCTGTTTTCCAAGCCAGTGACTCCAGTGGCTACCAAACTGACCATAAAAAGAAAAAAACAGTGAAGGGGCCAAACTGACTTCAGTTCCAGAGTCATCTAAGAAGAGTTGTCAGTTGTTACGATATTTATACACTGCGAATAAATAGATGTTTTGATTATTTAAAAAAAAAAAAGAGGAAACTCATATGTGGCACTTAGCTTTTTGATAGCCTATGGTGTCTGGGGGAGGCATTGTCTGGCATCCTCTTGTTCCTCCCTCTCATCATAGGGCAACTCCATTTAAGCCCCCTTCATATGTACATGTCTTAGGAAGCTTCTATAGCAGTATGTCTTCATATAGCATTTTCAAAGGTCCTTATTGTTATTCTTCTCCATACTCTCTACTCTTCCCTCCCATCTGTTACTCCATTTAACCCTTCCTATTCCATTAGCCTCCTTTGTCTCTTCATACCACCTGAATTCTATCCCCGTCCCCCCATCCATGGCCCCTTACTAGATTTTTGCCTTCTAAGTATACTCCAATTTAAATGCACATATCTAAAGATTCAAAGCTAGCGTCTACGAATAAGAAAGAACACGTGGCATTTGTTTTTCAGAGTTACCTCACTTAGAAATTTTATTTCCAACACCATTCATTTACTTGTGAATTTCAAATTTTCATTTTTCTTAATAGCTGATATTCCATATATGAAATTCACATATGAACCTCATTTTCATTATCCATTCATCAGTTGATAGACAACTAAGTTGTTTGCACGTCCTTGCTATTTTGATAGAGTAGCAATGACTATAGATGAACCAATATCTCTGTAATAGACTATAGAGTCTTTGGGAATATGCCCAAGAGTGATATTGCTGGATCGTATGGTAGATCTATCTCTAGCTTTTTAAGGACTCTCCATAGTGATTTCCATAGTGCCTGCACCAATTTGCACTCCCACCAACAGTGAATAAGTGTTTCCTTTTCCGTAGTGCCTGCACCAATTTGCACTTCCACCCAAAGTGAATATGTGTTCCCTTTTCCATAGTGACTGCACCAATTTGTACTCCCACCAACAGTGAATAAGTGTTTCCTTTTCCCCAGAACTTGTCATTTGGTTTATTGATTTTAGCTATTCTGTCTGGGGTAAGATGACATCTTGAAGTACTTTAATTTGAATTTCCCTGATGGCTAAGGGTGTTGAACATTTAAAAAAAAATACTTCTTAGCCACTGGTATTTCTTCTTTTGAGGCTTCTCCATTTAATTCCGTGCCCAAATTTTTAGTTGGGTTTCTTGTTTTAGTGCTAGGTTTTTTTGAGATTTTTTTTTTTTTGTATATTTTAGACACCAAACCTGAGTATAGTAATAAGAATAGTATGGTG